CCCAGTCAGCATTTAGCACAGTGCTTGGCACAAAATAAAGGCTCCATAAATGTCAAATTTAATAACAGAAACACATTTCTCCTCTGTTGGCCTCTCCTGTTTCTTCATTCATTCCATAAATATTACTGAGCACCTACTAGGTGCCGACCTCCATGCCAGACACTGGAGATACAATGATGGTTAAAACTCAACCCCTTTAACTTAAGGAGCAAAAGTCCAGTGAGGAACCTGAAAGACGAGCATGGGCTACCACAGGGAGAAATGTCGAGAGCACAGCCAGGCTGGGAACTGTGGGGACACTAGATGTTTGTAAAGTACAAATACCAAAAGTGACTGGGATTAAACAGCATCTTCCTCAATTTTCTGATTACAAAATTCCAGATGAGTTCATTGAAGCCAGAGATGTCTTCGCATTTAAGCTTTAGTGATTCCAAAGGTGCTTTGCATGACTAGGTCAAAGAAAACCCAGGGCAGGACGCAGTAGAAAGAGCTCAGCGGCATCCAATCCTGATTTAGTGTATCAAGGCTTTTGAAGGAAGAGTTAGCCAGGTGAAGGGAATACCAGGAAGACAGCTGTTGATCAAGCATAAAACCAGAAAGATGTATCTGATTATTTCTAAGGTCAGTGGTGCATTTGTTCACTTATCTAATGTAAACCATTTCACATGTTTTGCAGAGAAAGATCTGAAAATAATCTCCCTCTCTGAAACGTAAGGGAGAGCTCACGTCCTCAAATAATTCCACCACCGCCATCACAACCTGCTCCAGTTCTTCACGCACTCATAGCAGCAGCTGGAGCCTGAAGCTCCGATCACTCCCAGCTCCAGCCTTAAGAGCCCTGACAGGCCTGTCAGCCATAGCTCCTTCTTGATGAGCTCCTATTCATCCTCCAAAACCCAGTTTAAGACTCCTCCTCTCTCAAGCCTTCCCCTAACCCAGCAGGTGTGGTTGGGCCTCATCCCAATGCCTTCTTTGGAAATCCTTCTAATCTGTGTGCCTGCTTCACTGAACTGCCAGCTCCTTGAGGCCAAGGAGTAGGTCTGAGGGCTGTGCATCCTCAGTGCTCAGTGCAGGGCCCTGCATAGAGTAAGATGAATGGCAGCCACTTTACAGAGGAGAACAGCAAGTCTCCTCCGGAAGAACCGAGTCGTTCAGGAAACAGCCAGGTCTCCAGTCATCCAGACCAGAGCGGAGTCCACTATGCTCTGCACACAGCGCTCCCAGAACGCGTGCCAACTTCTGGGAAAGCGGAAACCAGAAAACTTGAGCTTTCTTTTAGGAATGAACGGAGAGGGGGGCGTGGAAGACGCGGGGAGGGGTAGCCCGGGGAAGGACCAAGATCCCACCCAGCTGGCTTCAGGGGGCCCCTCCGAGCCCGGGTAGCGGCCGGGGTTCTGCCGTCACGACAAGCCGAGGGGGCGATGGGAGAGCCCAGCAAGCCCTACAGACAGAAGTCCACACACACCCGCACAGAGACGCACACCGAGACAGAGACGGAGTCCCAGAGACAGCCAAGGCCGGTCCCTCCCCAGGGCCCACCCGCCGCTCCTTCCTTACCAGGGGAAGGCGGCCATCTTCGCGGTCACGTGACCGCTAGCGCTAGGCCCGCCGGCCCGTTCCGCCCTCCCAGACCCCGCCCCGCCGCGGCCGCCATGATTGTGACGGGCAGCGTCGGCCCGGGAGGCGGCCGCGGCGCTGGCGGGCGCCGGGCCTGAGAGTGGCAGCCGGCCGCCCTGGGCCCACCGGTGCCCCCTGGAGGCGGTGAAGAATCCCAGACACCTGCGGAGGGAAGGCGCGAACTGCGGCTTGGGGAGGGAGGAGGGTGTCTGGAGCCCAGCCGGCGCGTGCTTCTGCAGCTCATTCGCAGTATGGCTAGGCAAGCCCTGGCCCCTCCCCGGGCCACCGCGTCCCCCTCCGGGCCCCGTGAAAGTCCGGCACTTCCGGTATTCTCGAGACTCGTAGCTTGGGTCTCCAAATGCCCTTGACCTCAGTTGAAACTGTGTATCACTAGACAGGCTAAAAAATCAAATTGTGCTTTCTGGGACCTTCCTGTTTCCAGGCCTTTTCTCTCCATGGCAACATACTACGCAGAAATGCCATAAAGCAGGGCTTGAATGTGCACAAACTACCCGGGGATCTTGTTAAAATGCAGGTTCTGAGTCAGGTCTGGGGCGGGGCGTGGGCTCCTGCATTTCTAACAAGTTCCCAGGTGCCACTGCTGTTGGTTTCTGGGTACAAAACGGACTGTGAAAGCTGTGAGTGGTAAAGAGGGGCCGTGTAACTTAGGAGGCAGTAGAGCAGAGCAACATCACGTGCTTCTCGGCATGTCTAGCCATACCCACTGAATCCAAACCTATTACATCACGTGTACCACACAGATCAATGAAATTAATCCTGAAAACAGGTTAAAACCTATGGGAAGCGTGAAAAAGGGATTTCCCCCCCCATAGGCTGAGAAGCAAAACCATGGTTCTAGTGGCAACTTTGACAACCACCTCAAGAAAATGAAAAATTGAGAGCTACAGAGAAACTGACCAAAAAGGGATATCTGTCGAGTAATAAATAAACAAAAGGTAGTATTTTATTGTGAAGTTTAATTTTGGTTAGACACGATTTGTCTTCAGAGCTGTCTTTAGAACCTTAATTAACAGGGACGTGACTTCACTGTACCACATCCCAATCTAATTTGCTGTATTCCATGGCTGAACATCTTTGATTTTTTAAATTATTTTTATAACCTGTATGTATGCCCACCATGAGGTTAGAGGTAGCATTCCAACTTCATATATTTTTTACAACTATTACTTTTCATTTGGGGGAAGGAAGATTGTCTGTGGTTGTTCATGGGACAGTGACATGTGACAGAAAAAAAGATCTTCATCTTCATCCGAATGGGTCCTTGTTTTCTACTCAGTATGAGTGATAAAGTGTTCCCAGTCCTATTCAGTATTCCCAACGTGTGAATTGAACAAGAGTTAAAGGGTGGCCATAGGAAAAGGGAGGGGCTCTTCTCTCACTGTCTTGCAGATTATCAAATGCAGTATCTCCTCAATAGGAGGTAAAAATGAGGACCATTTTACTATGCTCACATTAGATAATTAGGCAGCACCAAAAGTTGGATTCTTAACGCTGTGCAAGTTAGCAGCTTTGGTGCGAGCTTCAACAGTAGCATTCTCCCTCATTCGCTCCTAGCAGGCTTCCAGCTCTTAATAAGCTATTTCCACAGCTCCAGTGAACTCTTGCCCTCAGAAAAGTCCAAATCCTGCAAAATCAAATGCTGGGCTAAGCACTGGAAGAAGTTACATATTAAATAGTGGGATATACCTTTCCTGAGACTGGTAATTATAAAAAATGACCATATGCATTATTAATGTTTTGGCCCCAGTCTTTCCTTGGTAAACAAAAAGATCAAACTAGATTTCCTTTAAGATGAAAAGTTTATTTTGCCTTTTGCCTAGAAGCAAAACTAGAGAAAATTAAAGTATAAAAATAAATATAATTTACATTAATGGACATTTGACTCAAAGTAAAAATAACAAAAATAATGTATATAAATAAAATCCATTAAAAGCACAAAACAATGTCTGGCACTTTTATGAGAAAAAGCTGTGAACATTAAAAAATGTATAACACACACAAGCTTTTATCTTTAAATTAAAAAACACTCATTTTGCATCCTCAATCTAAAACTAGTTTTAACTTTCTCCAAAACACACTATTTGTTTTAGCCAATTTGCATTAGTTATACACAAAACTTTTAGCATCTATCTTTCATACAGGAAAGACCCACCATGTGTAAGCTGTATCCTGAGTTTTCAGACTGATAAAGCACAATTTATAATATTAAGATGATAATTTGCCCACAAATATAAATTGGTAACTCAGATATTTTTGACTGTCTTCTAATTTTCTGGTTCACTCATTAAATAAATGATACATCTCCATAAAGAAAATCAAGTTTATACCCAGAGTAGATTATTTTCTGTCTATACTGGATATAAAAGTTAAGTTTTAAATGGAACACAAAATTGAAGAAAACAATCTTTATCTCCACATTCTTAAAAGGATATTAAGAATATATATAGTCTGCATTTTCAAAATACCAGTATCTTTTTAAAATTCAAGTTAGAAAGATTAACTGTACACAGTCCCAATTTTATGTAAGAAGCACAAAGCCCTTTTTGGAATGGCATGATAAATTAACAGGGATATTCTTTTTCATACAATTATGTTCCCTTGGTAACATTTTTTGGTTTATATTTTAAATAAATATGTTAGTGCTGAAAAATCTTCAACATCAGTGCCCCTAAGTAATGCAGAATTTCAACTAAATGGTATTATTATCCCACTTGAGAATCTGAATTTATCATATTATATAGCCCTTTGTTCTCTCCTAAATCAAAGCACGCTAAAAAAAAAAGAAGCAGACTATGAAGAAACAAAATAAGTAGACTAAATACAAAATATAACTGCATGCAACATGTTACTCTGTTTTATAGAAATGGATGTAACAATGCATTCTTTCCTAAGCTACATTCAAGAAGATTGTGCTGTCTTCCCCAAATGTGTTACCATCCACAGAAATATTTTTCAATTAAGTAGAAACGTTTCTAACAGTACTGGGGTAACATACATTAAGCCTAACATTTCTGTAAGACAACTAGTTGTTGAGAGGAGTATGTACTTGTGACCAAAATGGTGTCACCCAGCAACTTCTGTGGTAAATTTTAGATGGACCACAATCAGCAGGCAGTGTTTTATGCTATGTGGTTATACTCTAAGTCCAAGAATACGAGAGCTTAATCAGAGTTTTTAATGTTACAAAACCAGGGGAAAATATTCTCCTGCAATAATTTCCCCAGTAGAACGGTATCTAATTTATCAAACTCAGCAATCAGTGTGCAAAGATGAATGAAATTCGTATTTCAGAACTTATTTATAATTTATCACACCTTTTCAGTATTTTATAGAAATAAACCCAAATGTCCTTTAAGCTTACAAAAAGGTCCTCAGCAGACCCCTGAGTAATAAAACACTTATGTTTATACAGGTTAAAGACAGAAATGAGTCAATTACTAAACACTAATTTGTCTTCACTCAAAACTACTGTTAAGAGGAAAATGGGCATATGGGGAAGGAATTAGCCAGATCGGCCAAAACATCCAGATAATTTCTCAGTCCTTTGACGGTCACTTTGCCTGTGTAAACAGAGTCCAGGGTTAAATAAAAAGGCTTGAACAGGGGAAATAATACGGATCATAACCCTTCCCCCATTTTTTATCCTAATGAATGCTGTCTTCTTAAATTGTCGCAACATTTGGCCGCTTTCTTTGGATTTTTCCTGCATATACTCCTAAAAATAGAACAAAACTAGTATTATTTCTCAATGTTAGTTTTTCTGTAATAATACCATTTAATGAGTGCTCACTATGTACCAGGCACTGAGTTAAGCAAAATACATTGTAACATGAAATCCTTATGTAAAATAATCGTGAGGTAGAAATTACTACTATTTTAAGGATAATACAACTGAGACATAGGAGAGTAAGTCAGTTATATCAATAACAAAGCTAGAAGTAGAAACTCTGAGACCCCAACTCCCCCTGATTTGTTGTTTTACTGAACCATTTGCGCTACTGCCTCCTACTCTGCTTTAATTAGTAGTTTCTGAATTTCAGTATAAACTCTTAAGTCAAGCACAAGACATCAAATGAACAAATACATTTTAAAACAGGAGATCAGATTGTAATTTAGTTTGTAAAAACTATAAAACAGTTTAACTACTTTGCAACAAACTAACACCTTAGAAATTCAACTTCAGTCTGAGTATGATATTCATCATTGTAACAAAAATGAATTTTCTACAAAATGCTTAATAAAGGGTTTGTTCTCCATGCAGATCAAATCAAAGCATAGTTTCAAATTTGTTTGAAACATAACTCAGGCCATTAAAAATCTAAGCAGGGATGAAGAATCTTTTCAAGAGCAACTATGGATCTCTGTGGTGAGATTCATAGTTGGAACTTTAATCAGTCATATCCCCAATTTACAGTTTATGTAAAAGAATAAAATTCTTAGTCTTTCTCAATTGTCTTAATATGTCTTCATGTATAAATAAATTTTTAGAAAAAATAGAAAACTGTTCATACTTGTTTAGATACTTATTATGACATTAATTTAAGGGTTAAGTACATTTGTATTAGTAATTACAATGCAGTGCAATTAAACCATAGTAATTCTACATACTGAACTTCATTGTACATATTAACTGCAATGACTTCCTAGTCATCCTTCATACTGTTGAGTATTACTACACAGAGACAGTAGTTGCTATTTTGCATATAGGTTCACAAGTGACAAATAGTGGAGATGAAATGCATGAGAAAAGAATATGGAGAGTAGTCACTGTGGCAATAGATAGTATTAGGCAAGGCAATACTAATTCCTCAATGATTTGCCAACTAGCTAGGATTTACCATAATACAGACACTAACATGGGGAAAAAGTTGAAAATGTCTTAAAATTTCACATAACTTCACATGTAACAGATATGGTATATGGTCTGAGTTCTTCCAAACGGTTATCTTTCAAACCAGCTGGCTCTGACTACCTCTGGAATAAGCAGGATTTTCAAATTTGTAATCCCCTCTAAAACAACTCCATTGACTATCACTCAAAGTGACCTGCA